TGAACAGTGTGCCCGAGAAGTTAATTTCAATATTAAGATCGTTTTATATTCAGCCGAAGTGGAGTCCGGGCTTGCAACACTTTTTCGTCCGAGTCCATCACGGAAAGTGGAGTTCTTCAGGGTTGCCGTCTCCTTTTCTATTCAACTTTGTGATAGATTTAATTCTTGAAACAGTCTTATCCTCGTGCGAGAATAATGGCATCGATTTACTTCCAGGTGGTAAACTGTCTGATCTGGAGTATGCAGATGACGATTTGAATTTGGAAAGCAACCAAGCCCTGGATTATGAGAATTTGAAAGCTGCGTTGGTGGCAGAGTTTTCAAAGGAGGGTGACCGCCAGAAGGCAATGAACCGGTTTTACGCTGCGGAGTACAACGGGAATGAGGACCCGTTGGTACACTACCAATACGTAAAGCGACAAATTTCTCTGGGCCTGCCGGAGGCAAACAATAAAACACGGGAGAGGCTGACCAAAGACCGGTTCATACAAAGCATTCCGGCACAGATGACTGGCAAACTGAGGCCTGCGGTGGCGTGTGGGGTGAATGATGCAGACCGCTTAATTTCGATTGCACAAGCCTGTCAACCAGATGACGTGGTTACTCGGGTGGATCCTGGCGAAAGTGAAGATAAGATTGAACAAACATTTGAAGAAATTAGAAGACTGAAGGAGGAACTCAAAGGTAGATCACAGGAAAAGAGACATTTCAGGGCTGAAGTTCGACCAAAACGGTGTTTCATTTGCCACGGTATTGGGCATTTTGCCCGTTTTTGCCCAAACCACCACATTCGTTCGTGTTTTGCTCTTTCTAATCGAAATTCCCATGAGATTCCAAAGCTCAATGTTTTCATTTTGGGACGGTCAAAGATGGCTGTTATTGATACAGGCGCCGGGATTTCCATCATGCCTCGGGTGGAATGGGTTCCGGTGAGACCGTGCAATGAGAACGTACGTGCGATCGGAGGTGTGCCACTCAGAGTCTTGGGTAAACAATGTGTCAGTGTGCAGATTGGCGGAGTAACCGTTACCCATGAGATGTTCAGGATCGAAGGTGTAAGTGAGATTATTATCGGTGCGGATTTTCTAAGGCGCTTGGGTGCGAAGATAGATTTCGTGGGAGGTAAATTGCTCGTGGGATCGCAAACACATGAATCAAACTCAGGAAAACTAACGCACGCCCTCGTCAGTGTTGTGAGGAAATCGGCCGTTCCGGAGTGTTCAATTCCATATGTTATGCAATGCGTTGTTTTCTACTGCAGACGACGAGTGTGGATTTTGTGATTGGTTGGAGCACAAAATAGAATTAATGCCAAGAGCCGCGTGTGAGCCTGTGTACCGAAGGATACCTCACAAGATACTGCCGGAGTTGGAGAAACAAGTACGCGATATGCTGTCAAAAGTTATCATCCGTTAAAGTACCAGCCCGTACTCGTCGCCGGTGCTGCTCACTAGAAAATCTGACGGTATTTACAGATTCTGTGTCGACTTTCGAGAACTGAATCGTGTAGCGATAAAGGACGCCTTTCCGATGCCACTGACGATAAGATATTTGAACAACTCTCTGCACAGGTACTGTCACTAATCGACTTGAGGTCGGGGTATTGGCACCTACCACTGGCAGCCAGCGACAGAGAGTAAACAGCATTTTGTGTCAACGGGCAGCATTACGAATTTGTTCGGATGCCTTTCGGGCTGTGCACTGCACCAGCCACGTTCATACGTCTGTTGCTACAGATATTGGAAAACTTGGATGATGTAGTGTACGGGACGATATTGTTGTGTTCTCAAAGACACCAGAGGAACATGTGCATCGGCTGGAAGCGGTGCTAGGGGGAATCAAAAGTGCGAAGTGCAAAGAAATGCCAAATCGCTCGAGACACAATTACCTGTTTGGGTCACATTACTGGAGGTAAAATTAAACCGCTGCCCGAGAAGGCTGAAGGGATTCGAAATTTTTCTTCTCCAAAGTCCAAATGCCAATTAAGATCGTTAAGATCGATTTGTACCACACTTCATTAAAAAGCCCCCTTGTTCCAGTTGTTGAGAAGGGATGGGAAGTTTGAGTGGACGCCGGAGTTGGAGGCGGTCTTCCAAGATTTGAAAACAGCTACGGTCTCGGAGAGATGTCTGAAAATACCAAACCCTAGAGAAACCTTCACTGTCGCCGTCGATGCTAGCGACATTGGAATCGAAGCAGTGTTGTGACAACCGTCCGGAGTAATTGAATGTGCCAGCCACGTGCTCACAAACGCCGAAAGGGAGTACTCGACCACTGAAAAGGAGTGCCTGGCGATTGTATGGGCATTGGTTAAATGGTGAATGTATTTGGTTGCGAATACGTTCCACATCAAGACAGACCACAAATCCTTGACGTGGTTGATGACGGCGCCCGACTCGAGTGGAAGACTGGCGCGATAGACGTGTTGTCTTCAGGAATTTACGTTTACCGTTGAACATGTTAACGGAAAAGATAATGGGATTCCTGACTTCCTGTCGCGTCCAATCAACGATGAAGGTGTTCTCCAGCGGAAGCCCTCCCAGTTTCCCGGCTGATTTTGAAGGATGTGGAAATTAATAAATATCAGAAAGAAGACGTCCTGATGCAAACCATCTGTAAATATCTGCGGTCGAAAACGAAGCCGAAAGAAACGTCGCCAGAAATAGGAGAATTATTGAAGATCTGGGATAGCCCGTATTTGAACAATGAGAGTTTGGTGGTTGAAGTGAACACGGAACACGGACTGAGACCTAGGCGACTGCCATTCATCCCAGCCGGTCTTCGCGAAAGGGTGTTGAAGCTTGCACACGATGAAGCACACATGGGACGACAACAAGTTCTCGATTCATTACGACGTGTGTTCTGGTCAACAATGTGTCGGAATGTAATTGAATACATCCGTTCTTGTCCCGAGTCCCAACGTAATAAATATACGACGCCATCAACACCGCCAGTGCAACCAATAGATACCCAGAGAGTACTTCAAATCTGGGGACTTGTTGTGCTTGGACCTCTACCTATTAGTCCAACAGGGAACAAATACATTGTTGTGATGGTCGAACTCATGTTTCGCTGGATAGAAGTAGTACCAACCTCAGATGAAACAGGAGAAATGGTTGCTCGAATATTTATAGACAATGGGGCTGCACGATTTAACATCCCGGAAAATGTCATTACCGATCAGATTTTTTGGGAGACCTTAGACTGCTGGGGCATCAAACAAACAAGAATGTCCCCGTCACCCACAGGCCAACGGAATGACTGCACGGTTCAACAGAACAAAGGAATGGCTCAATAACCATTGCAGTGATTGGGAAGAAAGCCTATCGGAAATCCTAATCAACTACAGAATCACATCTCATTCGACAACGGAGATACCACCCTACGAAATCATATACTGTAGAGAACCAAGAACTCCACTGGATGCGTTTCTCGGAAGATCTGGAGAACAACTTTCCACGAAGGAGCGAGACAAGCTGTAGGGAGTACCGGTTCAGAGAACCAGGCAAACCCAGCAGCGCAACAAGGCAAGGTACCACAAAGAACACCGATCACAAAAGTGGCTGCTGTTCGTATCGAGACAGCTAGTAAAAGTTAAGAATCAAGTCAGACCCGAAACAACAGGGCCGGGGGCCGGAAAGTTCAAGCAGAGGTGGATGGGGCCATTCACTGTCCTGGAGAGGAAAAACGCCAGTTTTCGGACCAATCAGGGTCCTCAAGGGAGATGTGTAAATGGTAAAGAATTGGACCAGTGGTACACCCTAGGCAATCACTTTGAAGAAGGGGCGAGTGTGATGGAAAGTGGTACAAAGAGAGCACTGGTTAGCGAACGAATCAAGAATAGGGCCCATCCAACCAGATCGCAGACTTTGTGGCTGGAAGTACTTTGCGAGACAGTGTCGTCTACCATTCGAAACGAACGAATCGACAATTACAGCCCGACGGACAATCCGCATCTAGCCAGAACGATATCCACCGAATACCACAACGTCGGAGCTGTCGATCGGTCAAATCAGTCGGAACGGCACGCGGAAGAAAAGGCAACGTAAGTGCCAAGTGCGAACTAAAACCAACAGGGATTGGCCCACAGAATGAGGCATGAATCATCCTGCCGCGCGGTTAAGAATTGATTGTATATAATTGAACGCATACATCAGTTGTTTTTGAATTGAATCAATACACGTTTTGCCAGCCAACTCACCTCGTTGCAATATGGCTGAGAGTCGTCCACAGGGTGTTCGTGCATCTTCTTTCTTAGACCACTGAAATTCTCCATTTTCTGTTCGGCTCTGCTTTCAACTTTCCCGTCTTTCTCCTATTCTTCATCCAATTGAGCAGCCAAAAGACAGTAACCAAAACTGCCACAAGAAGGTGCATGGGTAATGCTTGAGAAAACTAAAAAAACCCCTGCGCCTCGTGAAATGCTCCCTACGAACGATCGTCTCAAATGGACTCTGCCGGATAAGCCCAACTCTGCTTTCTCGTGTCGGAGGTGTTTTCCCACCAAAGTGGGAGGATGAAAAGCTGGTACCCCAGGGTTATAACCGGGTTGGTTGACCATTGGTAGTTCACCTAGGGGAGTTAGCCAAATACCCTGATTCCAAACCAACCAAGAGGAGGCGTACGAACCACATGCACCTTTCCGATCGTGGCAGTGGTCACCGGCTCGATTGGGCATCGAGGTATATTGGACACCTTGGACATTTGACCCCGTCCAAAGGNAAGGGCGTATGATCCGGTGAACTGAACACCGGCCCTCAATGGATTGCGGTTTTCGCACACCGCTCTGGTGCTTTGCAGGTCAGGCTTTGGCTACCAAAATGCTCCGGTTGTGGATTCCTCAAGAAAATTCATCTGCTTTGGCCTGGGCATCCTGGTAGTATTCGGCCCATATGCAATCCGTGGAACATTTGGAGTATAAATCAGAAAGCAGCTACCCGATGCAATGAATCAGATACGGACACATTAGGATCGTGAGCACCAATGCATACAGGTTGTTAGTTTTACCCGTGCCGTGTCAAAGGCCAGGCTATTAGTCCCTGAAACTAACCTTAGCCCTCAGCAGTTTTGCTCTGTTCTAGACCACTGAGTTTACAATTGTCCATTTTCAGAAACATCCTAGCTGGGCACACCCACTTAGGACTGAGAGAGTTGAACTCATCATCGTAAACGAAACGCCACGATCGATCACTGGCACTGATTGGTTTCTCGACAGTGGTGTTAGAAGCTCCAAGCATCCGCCACCAATACAATAATTTGGAGGCTCGATTAGCTGGAAGCCGCGTATCGTCCTGTGCATACTGAATTTATCTGAACTGATGTAGTGTCAGGTTTTACAATCATGCACTTCCACGCGCCGGTTCCGGTTACTGTCTTTTAGCTGTCCATTCGGATAAAAGAGCAGAATGAAGATTTGAATGTTGAGAGCGAATTCATGGGTAAGATGGAGAATTCATGTTGACTGGGGTTGCAAGAATATTGAGTAGATATTCGAGCCCCACTGTTTGCGCCACTGAGCCATACCACTCAGTGTCGTCATCATCATCATCATCATTATCATCGTACAGCGAAATACAGTGAAGCGAACTTCGCTGATCGCTGCCAAACTCGCAATGCATACAAGGTTAGTGGTAAAATTTAAGGTGGACAGGGATTGAATCTATTTTGAGGGAGGGAGAAGATGAGGTCAACAAACAGAGTACGCAATCGAAATCTGCATACATACCGTTTCAAGCATTCTGACCTGATAAGAAACAACAGCAAGAACGCCACTGCTGCCGGTTTGCTGCCATATCCTTCAATGTCTCCAACCAACCAGTTGTGGTCTTTCGGACCCCAACCTGGAAGGCGAGAGACACCTACTCTACCTAATGGCTCTGTGCATTTCTTCATGCCCCGTCTCCACGTCGTCCGTTGACCTCCACGTGGTTTCCTCCAGCCCGGATTAGCCACAGCGAATAAAGCGCGGTGCGGTAGACGATGGCTGGGCATACGCAATACGTGTCCTAGCCAGCGAAGCCTAACCTGAATTCGGTGTGCTAGCAGGTTTATACGTGACAGACTCCCAAACACACGATGGCCTACCTCCACGTTACTAACCCGTTCGCTCCATCCAACGTGGGTTAAACTGCGTAAACACCGATAATCGAGAACTTCCAGTCGACGGATACCTTCTACTCGCAAATTCAGGGTCTCAC